AGGCAGCTCGTGTCTTCGATCCACGGATCTTCCAGCATTAGACGCTTAAAACTACGTAATTTACCTCATGTGTGGCAAAGTATTAATTCTGAAACACTTTGTAATCAACTTGTCACAGAAATACGATACGATGTTTTCAGAAAAGTCATAAAACGTACAGTACTGTGTAATGTTTTCCAAACTCTTTAATTCTCAGCGGATAATAGACAGTTAAAAACTGTTGGTTTATCAACCGTAGGGAAATTTAGATAATTTGTCTTCTGGAATTCTGCGCTGTGTTGTCTATCAGAACTTTACCGGTATTTCAGATGTACCTGCTGCCTCCATCGTCAAGGCGATAATACTAGAGGCAGAAAATACCTCTAAACGTTAGTAAACTTTACCAAACTACATGGAAGAGATAATATATATAGTTCAATATATGTTAGGAGTGACCAAACCTCATTTCACCGCGTCTGCTGCACGTGTTTGTCTTTCTTTGCACGTAGGTAATGAATTATTAAGAATTAAGGAATTGGTTAATCATCATGTTCTTGTAAAGAATACGTGACAGATATTAGCAAATGTTTACCACATTTCAAGCTGAACAGAATGTTTGCCAATATGATAAGATTGAAGTGAAGTGTAACATTGTTACTGTTAAGAAAATGAGTGTAGGTGAAGGAGATTCATATTTTTGAACGCAGGAAGAGAATAACTTTCTTACTGCGTGAGCTAGGTATGACCACTCCCTCCATTACAGTGAATAAAGAATTCATTTACCTTTATTTACTTCACAAGCCAGAAACGCATTGCAGTCGTTTTTATCACCATGACAGCTCCAAAAAAATAGCAGTGCCAAGAGACACAACGTAACCACATGAAAGTAGTTTTGCGATATATATTGAATTGTTATTATCACCAACAACACTACACTTATCGAATAGTTACGGAGCGCGCGTGGCACGATCTACCCAAACACTAAACCGAGGTGGGAGTGGTCGCTCTGAGTACGGCGACTTAGGCCGGTAACCGGGAAGGGGTAAACGCGGGGGACGAATGGCAGCGACGTTATATCAAGTTCACATACACTGGTAATAGATGGCAGTGTTTGTCGACACACCGAACATTACATCTTCAGAATTACCATCTTGAGCTTGTAAAATGAAGAACTTTTGGCCTTCGGTGATAAGCCGAGTCGAACATTAAATTTTCTTTCCCCTGTTTCGGCAAATACTGTAGTTGCCTTATTCATGGTGATGTCTTTTTGGCGTTAGAAAGCGCTACGGAACATAGCAAAATATCACTCCTTACAAAGGAACATCCATGTAATCGTCGAAATAACAAAAATTACTTCGAGAACATTCCTCGAAAGACATGCTTGTTTGTGCTTTCTAACCTTTCCCACCACTGAAACGGTATAAGAATAGAGCGCCTACAGGAATATCCCCCACACTGTAACCAATTATTTATCAATTAGTTGAGGATCAATGATGTCACAAATTCTTGCACGCCACATCATTTTGTAACTTCATGCATGCGCGAGTCGCGAACAGTCGATTGCTGACGTCGACCCAGGGGAACTCGTGGCGCCACATATGAGCAACTATCAGAACAATTTATTTCTGCGCGGCTCACCAGTAAGGACGGCGACGTACAAGCCCAGCGTTGTCAAACGATCAGGAGCAGGGGAATTAAAACATCTTTCAATATTGAATAAATAAGATATTGTGTTTCACACACTACATCTTTTTTCCATACTACAAAATTTGTAACAATATTATTGCTGCCATCACACTACATCTTTTAACAATTCAAATGACAGACAAATGCTAATAAATAAGTACATTAAATACAACCAAGTTAAACCAGAACTGAACTAAACAAGCATATTCAATGGAAACATTTCTGCTTATTAATAAAGTATCCTCAAAGCCGATTGTTTTTGTTAAAAATTCCCAAAAACCTACATGTCATTTGAAATAATGGTAAGACTGCATTAACGCACTGCTCTCAGTAAAGCAGAAACCTGTTTTATCTGCCTTGTAGGAACACGAATACCAACAGAGTCCAAGATGGAATGGCTATTTATTTTCCCCCAGAGAATATTAATAAAAAAATAAATAAATAAAATGCTGAGACATCTGGAATAAAATGTGGTAAAACTTAAACATTTCAAAACGAAACTTTAATCACATAAAACATCAAAGTAAAGAAAATGATACCAACAAACAGGCAAATTGTCTTCGAATGTTTTCCGTTTCATTAGAACCAATCAATGTAAGGCTATGACCTAACCAAAGAATATACGACACAGAAATTAAAATTGATACCACTTATCTTGCATGCGGAAGACATAATTTTAGCCTGGGTTTTTGAACATTATCCATCATGTTATGTTATACAATGTTTTGAAGACTGGATCTATTCTCATCTTCACGTGTAGTAGAGGGGGGACACCTACTTTGTGGGGTCCATTATAATGAGTTAATCTGAATCACCGGTGATTCCGGCCGAGACCGTCCAGCATTCCTTGTCACTAACTTAGCGAGTGGACACCAGCCCCAGAGTGCCCAAAAGTAAAACTGACCAATGGGACCAAGAGGTGGTGGCACCCTAAGCTGCCAGGAAGTGGGCAGTCGCTATAGAAAAGCAACTTGACTGTGGTAAGCAGCGTCCTGTTAAAGGGAAAGCACGCCAGCACCAGATTGGGCAGTGGTTACTTCATTTTGAGTCGAATGTGCGCAGGACAAACTTCTGACCACCTCCTTCGATCCTTTCAAAGGTCCTTCCAACTTTTACTTCACACACCCATAATACACCCTGATTTAGTCCCACCTCTATGACCAAAGTAGCCGGCAAAACCCGAAACGAACCACCCGCGTGCCACAGAACAACGGCTGAAAGATTCTGAAGCAGAGCGTACGACACAAAAAAAGATGGCATCCAGTAGCAAGGGGCGGGTATATAAGACAGAAATGAAAGTATATCTATTTCATAATTAGCTTTAAAACCACTTAAAACAAAACGGAGACAGTCCAAAAACAAAAGCTTATCCAACGCAACGAGGGACTTTATTGAACGCCCGACTAAGATCAAACAAACAGAATCTCCCTGTGAACAAACAACTGGCACAGTATCACTTAGACAAGTAACTAAATTAGTTACCATATATTACGACTTAACAAATCAAGATTTAAAATTAAAAGAAATGCGATCGTATTCAACATTTTCAACGTTTTTGGAGAAAAAGGTTAAAATTAAGAAAGGTCCATAACCAGAGCAATCTTGCCCGTCTTAAATACGTACAATAACCGCAAGAGGGAAACCTCCCAGTTAATAAACCGAGATTTAAAATGTGATGTGAAGGCGTAGTACGTACCTCAGACCTCTTGTGGCAAAATTAGGAATTTAATCTGGTCCGGTGCGTTCAAGTGAACGGAGACGACTAACGGCTCCCTGAATCAAGAAAATCAGAATAAGATTTGTTCTTAGTATGAACAGAAGAGGGAGATAAAAATATTCAAGTTTACAATTTAATTCACTATGGAAACCTGGCTAAATGAAGCTACGTCATCATAATTTATTTCCAGATTCATATTTTCGTGCAAAACATGGAGGAAAAACAGTCACTCCACTACGCACACCATCGACGCTTAAAACATAAGCAGACTCTTGGGACATTTTTGGCAAAAACATCGTCTTCTCGGAGGACCTTTTCTCCGAGCAGGAAACTGCCTACATTAATTATTTATATTACTTTTTTCATCCCCATTTTAATGCGCGCGTGTGTATAAAAGTGTCTGCCTACCATAAGCTCCGTGCTGTTAGCAAACACTCTTAAAGGAAATGAATTACTGTTGTTGTTGTTGTCATTATGATTTATCAGTTACCTGAGCCTGCTACATGCAATGGAGTACGTGTTTGATAAGGCACAAAAGAGAATAGAAAAGTAATTTCCTTAGAAAAAAGCTCAACATACTATGTGGGAACGCGTGCAATTAATTTGTGAGAGAACTTGGAATATCAACTCAAAATATGACGGTCAAAAACCGACGTGTAACTGAAGAAAATGGAAATCAGCGTGGACATTCACAGGTACAACTAAAAGGCGCCTGAAATCGGCACCGGCCGTTTCCACACGATGAAAACGACTCGACCCCAAAAGCAAAAATTTTTAAACATACCAATTTATGAATATTTTCGAAAAATTATCTACATCAAAAGGGATATACGCGCTACAATTTTGTACATTGTGAAAACACAGTTCGCGTTACAAACCGTGATGACAGTGAAAAATTTGTCTAGTTTCGTCTAATAGAGAAAATTCTTGTTCTTCATTCTCAAAAATTTTCCAAATGCTTGTCTTACACTGGAAAAGTCACTCTCGTACATTCCTCTCCCCTTGGACCTATCTCCAGCAAGTACGTGCTCTTTTGTTTCTCAGATAACCTGATTTTATTTCTTGTTTCAGAAAGTAAGTAACAAAGAGACGCATAACATCCATTACATAACACACCTACAACCTTTTAGGAAGCCATCGCAAACGTGCTCTTAAACTATATAAATCCCATAAACTAGTTACCATTAGGCAAACACAGCCACTAGTAAAAACAGAAGGCAAATGAGACATTGTGTCACATGACTGAGCATTGGGAGGGGTCAGTCACACCTGGAGAAAGACCGGGCAGGCAAGGGTTGCCGTGTTCATCGAACGTCACCACGGATCCCAGATCCCCCACCAGATCCTTCGGAGGCTGGCCACAATCTTGCATCTGAAACAATTTTCTGATTTAACAGCATCTCAAAATATATCATCACGGTAATACATTTGCGCCCATCTTCATCGCCCTGTACGGCGAGAGTCTTATATTAACGTCATACGTAGGGCAGTCAGAAAGTTCCCAGAATTGCCGTTTGAGAAAAGTACGCAGGATCCGACATTTCTCACAAAGATCGTCACTGGTGATGAGTCGTGGGTGTTCGCCTATGACCCGGAGACGAAGATGCAGTCATCCGAGTGGCACACGGCGTCGTCTCCCCGACCAAAGAAATCACGCCTCGTCCGATTCAAGGAAAAAGTGATGCTCATGGCATTCTTTGGCATCGACGGTGTGGTGCACCATGAGTTCGTACCGCCTGGACAGACTGTTACGGGTCATTTCTACGTGCAAGTGTTGCGGAGGTTGCGCGAAGGAATCGGCGCAACAGGTTGTAGGGTGAGTGGTTTCTGCATCACGATAACGCACCAAGCCACACATCGCTGGTTGTGCAATTCCTCGCCGAGAAAAGCATTCCCGTCATCAGCCAACCACCATACTCTCCGGATCTCGCTCCGAGTGACTTCTGGCTATTCCCTACTCTGAAAATGGGGCTCAAGGGGACGAGTTTCGCAACCACGGAGGACATCAAATCGAATGCGACAGCCAAACTCCGGAAGATTCCAAACGAAGCCTTCCGCCAGTGCTTCCAACAATGGCAGGATCGATGGAGCAAGTGTTTGTGTGCGCAAGGGTCCTACTTTAAAGGTGATTAGGTAAGCGTTGCCATATGTCCTACCATTACCGTGCTATACCACAATTCCGGGACCTTTCTGACTGCCCCTCGTATACCACTTGTCTACTGGTAAGTCTACGTATAACTTTTCAATCAACTTACGGTTTCCATAAAACTAAATACAAACCTCACGTTATCACAGGCCATCCCACTCGTTTATCCTCATTAAATAAATAGCTCCATCGCGAAGGGGTCTCCTTGAGACGTTCAGTTACTCATGAAATTCGCCATCTTTCATACAGGGTGGCACACCGTAATAGCCTAGAAGAAACTATCAGTGTATCTGTGTACATAATATTAGTCGTAATTGATTAAGACCTTACTTTCTGCATGAGATCAAGGATTGTGTCAAATCTCCTCTTCTTCTCCTCCTGGCTGTCTGATTCAGACTCCCTCTCCAGTTCCACACACACCTGATCCATTAGTTCTCTCTGCTTGCCGAACCTTTCAAACTCCGAAGGCTCGAGCTTTGATCGATTCTCTTCCAGCCATGCAGGGTACTGAAACAAATGGCACTCGCTTCTGAAAACCGAAACACGAAACTGGAAGACTATAAAAGTTTTATACCTGGTACAACACACATCATACTAACATGTAATGTCTATTTAATAAGTAATAATGTTTAATGCAGAAGTAGTAAAGTTCTTTTCGAATGTATTAATCATCACAGGCCTTTAGCTGTCCCTCCGCTGAAATGACAGAACAAAACATTCTAGTAAACCATGGCCAGTTCCTCTCCTTTCAAGATATACGATCCCACCTCACACGTTTGTTCACCTGCCATGTTGGTACCACCAACTGTATAAAATTAAAAAGTATACTTTTAGGGTAGTCCCCAGTGGGATAACATCAATTCCAAATTTCATTCAAATCCATCCAGCCGTTCTTGAGCAGAATCATGCGGACAGACGGGCGGAGAGAGAAGTGACCGGCCACGTACGCATTCATTTCATGCACATAATGCAACAAATGCATAAAAAACAAAATTACATACCAGTTTATAGCCAAACGAGACTACTTTGCTTACGCTCCCCACAAAGAAAATACGAGCAGTAACTGCATTCAACACGATACCTTATCGACAATATCCTTAAGTGCTGGATAAAGAATATCCTTTGAGAGTAACGACTGCATCATCTGTTGCATGAATGGGAGGAAATCCCCTCCTTCTGTTGTCTCTCCTACACCAAGGCCACTGAACATGTTCGCAATGTTCTCTTCGGAGAAAAGAGACTGAAAAAAAATTGCACAATCACCAAAGAGAATCACAAGACCAAAACAAAGGACAAGTGAGGCCTACACCGACCAAGAAAAACGTGGAATCACGGGGTCACATATGCACGTGGCGTACTCTGACCACACTTGAAACAAAATACATACGTCCATTTCAAAAGAGAGGAGACAGTTACACATTTGTATCGCCCACATCCTCTTCTTCCAAGAACCCTGATGACAGAGGCAGTATGACCTCTGAAACGTTGGTGGAAATCTACCAGACTACACAGCGCAACAACCCAGAAGACAGAAATCTTCAGACTCACCGCTGTGAAAACCTCAAATCATACAATCCTTGTATGATAGAACTCGAATCAAATTTGGGAAGTCAGAATCCATGTATGTTATATTTATGTTACTTACCTGCAGATTTTCTGTCCCTTCTGAGAGATTTCTTAGAGTTTGTGAAATTGCTGCTGCAAATTCACTCCCATCACCATCACTACTACCTTCATCAGTTATTACTTTCGCTGTGGCTTCTGCAATTTTCTGGAAATTGGCCCCCAGTTGTTCGGGTGTTAGCGTATCTGAGGAATCACTACCTGAACCACAATAAATAAAAAATCATTATCCAAAACATTGATCACAAATATCAGTCTAGATAACCGATAAACTGAAACGGTTGAAATAAGTTAACGTGAGATACAAAAAAGAAAACCACTGGTTCATAAAATTCTTTTTACATAATTCATTCTGTCCTCTTTGGTTAAGACAATTTATGATTCGCTGTTGCAAAATCAAAGTTTAATTATACTTTAAAACATACAATGAGGCACATTTTCCCCAGTACGCAAGAACGTTCCCCAATTAATACCAATCAAAAAGACGACGACTGTCTTCGAGTGAAGAGGCGGTAAGGTAAATGGTTGGGAAAAGTGGTCAACCTTGACTACTCTAATGCTCTTTCAGGAACATAATGACCTTGACTGTACCAGAGTTTAAGTAAGAATCGTCAGAAAATCATGCTAATGTTTTTAGTTTGCACAGTATAAACAAGCCTTGCCTTCTCTTCACTGGAAATCTAAGAAGTGAACAAAGCAATGACGAAATAAATAAAAAGGGAAA